TTGGGAAATTCTCTGTGCAGACATCACATTTGTTTTCATGTAATTGTGTAAAACAAACTTGATATGTTTGTATGTGGATACATAAAGAACAATGTTGTTGTGTCATATACGTGAGACGTTGGTGGAGAGAACATGTTGAGTAAAATTGAAAATCTTGAGTAAAGATGAACTTAAAATGAGAGATCGATTACAAGCGTGTGACGCTAGTAACAAACATTAGTAGCACACATGTCAGTGTCGAATATATAATATGATAGAAAAAAATAGAGCAGAATGTCAATCTATTCCTCGGTTATGAAATCCTACAATAATTTTTACTAGAAAATTCTCTCCGTGTAGAATTCCGTGTAGAGTTTCAGAATTTAAAAAAAACTTTTTTGAGGCCATGAGATGATGACGATAAGAGTATATTCTTTTGGGTATATAACACAAATAGATGTAAATCGTTACTTTCTGTATTTTATTGAGATTGAGATGTCTAACGTGAAAATACTTCATCCACTGACGATGCGACATCGATGTTGTATCGCCAGTTCGAGGATTATTAGCGCGTGTCTGGAAGAGCGAATATAACGAAGACCGAATGGTTAAGTGAAATGAAGGGTTCAATGTGGGCGGGTTGTTCTCCGCGACAGACGGGACGGACGTGATGAAAGGAGAGGAACGGAAAATTTCGACCGTCGCCGCGTTCTTCGATATCGCGACACGTCTCTCTCTCTCTCTCTCACTCGCTCACTCACTCTCGTTAGTCTCTGGCACCGTCGACGCTAACCGCCGACTCGGCGCTTTCGTCGGATGACGCCTGGCAGGAAGCATCGATGGCAGCAAAAATAATTGGTACCTTCCCCCGATTCTCGGGCGCTGCCGCGTAACAAGGTCCATTTCCATGGAATAACCATCAGCGGTAATTGGCACCTACAGGCAACGCCGATGCTCTCTGGCCCTCCGCCCGCCCTATCATATTTCAGAACGGCGGTACGCCGAGACAGGAAGAGACGCGGGGGTGGAACCTCGGTCCAGGGGATGCGTGCGGATCGCAAATGTGTGTTTTATACAGCGACGGCACCCTTTCGCTTTTCAGCTCCGGACCGGACTGGAGGAACGATTCCGAGGGATGGTGGTGGTAGTGGTGGTGGTGGTGGTGGTGGTGATGGTGATGGTGGCGGCGGTGGCGGATATAACAAAGCGGAACCATCGACAGCTCGCTAACAACCCTCTGCGCGTCCACCTCTCTCGCCAAGATCTCTGCGAGCTATAAAACGTCGGTCATACGACAAGAGTGGGCCGACGATTTTGAAACGGCGATGTCGCCCGTTTCGACGATCCTGACGAGAACTTTACGTTCTTCGGCGGATCACCCTTCCGTTGAACGACGGTGAAGCGTTCTCTCGTTGTCACGTGATTCTCCAACGAGATCGGTCCAAACCTTCAGCTTAAATATACATGGTGCGCGACTTTCTAACGAAATTCAACACAGACACTGACAGTCCTCCTACTCTTCGTTGCCACTTACCTTTCCGCTAAAGTAGAAAAGAATTAAGAAATTAGGGATCTTTTTTTGAAGAGGGAATTTCAGGTAGTGGACAGAACACACTCGTGACAAAGCACAAGACGCGTGTGATGCTCGCGAGAAATCGTGATCTTCGGTTAGCGAATTTACTGCAAAAGCATGGCTTTCGTCTTCTTTTCGTTTATTTCCTTTTACTTTAGCCGCGAAATATCAGAATCTTTCAAGCGAACCGCGGACTCATTCCACAGTACTCCAAGTGTCCGACTGACCGGTGGAACGTTCAGCATCATCGGCGTCGCGACGTTTTTTCACGGGCGTGTGCAATGAAAGTGCAACACAACGGGCGTACACAAGATGTAGCATTTAATGCTCACGTTTCAAAAAACACTATACAATGGACACTCTCTAACATAGACCACCTTTGACATCGTCCTTCCTTTCATCGTCGTCACGTGTTCGATCCGTGAGTTTAATGAAACAGAACCGACCAATTCGCGCGTACACAAATGATCGAAATGTGTGATCTCTTTTGTCTATCCCTTCCTCCCTCTCTTTCTCTTGCTCTCTGTGCCTTACGTCCGTGTGTATACGTGTGTGTACGTGTGTCTTCTGCACGATGGCTCAAGACGCTTGCGCCCTTTTAGTACAGCTATATGTACGCGTGTATGCACGTAGTCCCATTATAATTAATACTTTACATCGACGCGGCATCTATCGCCGCCGCCAGCCTTCTCTCCGTTTCACTCTCTGACCGGCGCGTCTCGCGGATCTCCACGTTTCGTTCCACCTCGACGTCGTACCCCCTAACTTTCGTATACGCGAGAGTGTACAATCCGGGCAACGAGCACGTTTCCTTCGCTCGCGATAAGCACGTAGAAAGGATTTTCGGCTGCCATACGTAACTACCACCGTTAATCACGTTTCTCACTCGCACGCTTGCACGCTCGCTCACTCGCTCACTCGCTCTCTCTCTCTCGCTCTCTTTCTCTCTCTCTCTCTCTCTCTCTCTCTCGCTCTTTCTCTCTTACTCTCTCTCTCTCCCTCTCTCTCTCGCTCGCACTTTTCATGCTCTCACACATTTTCCCCTTCATTCTCGTTTTCTCTTTCTTTTTCCTCCCACTATCACAATCATAGGTTAATATTAATCGAAGAGCGATACGATTTTTACAAAGCAGAACACAATTAATTTCGTTCTTTTTTTTTTAATTTATTTGCCGTTCTTCCGTTTTTTGTTTCTTACTTAAGGATGTCAATAGGTCGTCAATACGCAAACAGTTGCAAAAATCTGATTCCATACCGATATAGTAAATTCTTTAGCTTACTATACACACATCTCGCGTCGTCGTCGTACGCGTCTCACCGTTGTCAGCTTTACAGACCTCTCTCTCGTATCTTCGCGATCGTTTACGCATCGTTCTCATGATCGTAACAATGATCGCCGCGATCTTGACCGTGGCCAACGATCGTCGTCGGCGCCATCATTATGATCATCTCGCCGCAATCGTCTCGACGTCTTAGCCATTATCATCATTATCATCATCATTATCGTCATCATCGTCTATAATTATACAATAATTATACATCATGTCTGGCTGGCTATCCTTCACGCACGCACGCACGCACGACGCATTTTTCATGTTTTTCTGTCGTAACGCAAATCGCTCTTTTCGCACGTTCCCTCTCTCACACACGCTACACGCACACGCGACACACACATCCTCTCACGCACTTATAACTCACAAACACACATGCATACATGCATTTATTCGATTCTCTCTCTCTCTCTCGCTCTCTCTCTCTCTCTCTCTCTCTCTCTCTCTCTCTCTCTCTCTC